TGAGAAGAATTGGAGTTACCAATTGTAAGGAAAGCACCCAAATCCTCTTGATTGTTGGCTATCCTTCTTCTCTAATTTGAATGTTAATCTTTCAACAATTTTTTTTTCTTAGTGAAATATTTGATTGATCCAAAAATTGGATTGTATATAGGTATTTAAATTTATATTTTTTCACCAATTTTTGTTTCAATAAAACAAGTTAATATTGCTAAATTGTAAAATCCTTCAGTAATCCTAAATTTCAATTATTTGAGACTATAACCAACAAAAACTCTCATATTCTTCAATCTAACCACTTGATTTATTTCAATTTTTTCACATACATTTACAATAAGAACAATTAAATTTTTTAAAAATTTTACTTGTAAATATCTTACAAAACTCATATAATCTTCAAATTTGTAAACTTATTTTTATTTCTCAAAACCTAAATCCACCAAGTACATTGTTAATTTTAAAAATCCTCATAACCTCAATATTAATCCAAATGACATGAAATCAATTCTCAAAAATCTTTCCTTAAGTTTGCTCTTAAATCAAATTCTTGAATTGACAAAAGAACATTGGAGTTGCTGTAGGGATGTAATTTTAAGCCTTAGGATCTGATTTTCATCCTAGTTCACAATTGGTCCTCTTTAGATATCAATTTTTAGTAATTTGAGGTAATTTTTTAAAAATATATTTATAATTCTCTTCTAAATATACACATATCAATTACTTATCTTGTTTATTTTAATTTGACGTATTTATGCTTCTATAAAATAAATAGAAGTTTTTTCTATAAAAAGAAGTATTAAGACTAATTTTTTTACTATATTCCTATCTTTTATCCTTATTTTTCTACTACATCTTTCTATTAGGCTCTTCTATAATAATACCTATATTTTTATTGTTCACTATATAGTCATGTTACTATATGATAATGCAAATCATATCTTCTCAAAAAAAAAAATTCTTTATTCATTTGAGAGATTTGTTAAGCTTGAAAAATAACTCAAATAAAGGATTGTTAAAGAAGATAGATGTGCCAATTCATTTAAAAAACTTGTCAAACTTAAGCATCCTCTCAAGTTAAGTTTTATCAACAAAGAAAGATTTTTTAATTCTTTTGAAAAGCTTGTTAAGCTTGAGCAACCTCTCAAATCAAGTGTTGTCAAAGAAGAAAGATTTTTCAATTCATTTGATAAGCTTGTCAAGTTTGAGTAATTTCTCAAATCAAATGTTGTTAAAGAAGAAAGATTTGCCAATTTACTTGGAAAGCTTATCAAGCTTGAAGAACCACATAAATGATTTTTTTTAAAAAAAACTAAATTTTTCAATTCATTTGATATTATTTTAAAATTTGTGTTATGATTTAAATTTAAATTTGTTAAAGATTTTAGGTTTTTGATGGCTTTTAATAATACTTTATATTAATTAGAATAATATAAGTTAAGTCTTAATAATATAATAATTATAAATAGTATCATTGAAAATATTTTATTTAATTAAAATCCTATTATAATAAATATTATTAATTCTTCAAATATTTTTAAAAAATAATTATTGCATATTATAGATGATAAATTTAGTTTCTCAAAAGTATAAAAAAAACCTAAGTAATTCCTTAATAATAAATCTTTAATTTTTTAGCATATTTTACTAAATAAATAAATATTTCAAAGATATCTTCATTTGACTTTCTATCAATATTACATACTAGTCTTTATTGAGAATAAAAGTGTAATCCTTTTATGATAAAACGTTTGATCATATTTTTCATATTATTACTAAGTAGAATGCCTTTCAACTAATAAATGATACAACAAAAAAATAATTAAAAATTATAATCTTTTGCAATATAAAATACTTAAAACATAAACAAATTTCAAATTATTTCACATTGCAATATACAAATAATATAAAATTATTCTTGAATTATATTAAAATATCTTTTATCTTAATTAATTAATTTTTATTAATAAATTTATTTATTTTATTTTATTACTATTTGAAAGTATTATCTTTGTTCTTAATCCATGCACTAACATTATATTCATATTCCAAATTTTTGTGTCTTTGCATTTTTTATTTTATTTTATTTTTTTAATAATACTTCAATCTATATCTTATAATTAATCAAATTCTTTTATTATTTTATTTATATATTTATTTTATTTTATTATTTATTAATTAACCAATATATCTAAAATAATATTTGCATCTTTTTTTCAATTCCATTTTTCTTATTAGTCCATATTTGTAATTTACTCTCTTTCATTGTACGACATTAATTCAAATTATTACAAAAAAAAATATGTTAAAAAATATATTCTTTTCTTTAACTTTTAAAGTATCAAAACTTATTTTTAAAATAGCCCATAGCTAATGATTATTTTTTTCTTCATATCTATCTAAATAAATTCTTTTCTTTAATTTTTACAAAGCTCTTTTCTAACATCTCAACTTTTTTTGTTCTCCTAAAAATGAGCTTATAACTTTCAAATTCTAAGTTAGTCCATTACAAGATTTTACAATTGGTTTTCCAATCTCAATAAGTTCTCTAGGTAATATGTTATCATCTCTACAAGCATAAGTTGAAAACAACTTCAAACTTGTATCTTTGTTAAGTTCTTCAATATCAAATTTATGAATCTCTATAGCATAGTCTTTTACTATCTTACAATTTTTTTTTGTCATAATCAATATGCTATCTTTATTAGAATGTAGAACATCCATAAATACTACATCGTTAATATAACTTTTATTCTTCATATCATCCAACGTTAATAAAAACTTTTTGTTCATTAAAAATTCTTTCATCATTTCTTGTGCTTCTTCCAAATTCTTTGGTTTTAATTAAAAATTCAATTGGTTCAAAACTATGTAAATTGTTGAAAAAACATTATATTTATTTTGAATATTTTCAAATTAAAGAAAAAAAATACTTAAAGAAAATTGATGTAACCAAAACATTATATTTTAGAGAATTTAAGAAAGAAAATCATGAAAAGATGATATTGAAAGATGTAGATGTTAATATGATGTTAATATGATGTTAATATTGAAAGATGTAGATGTTAATATGATGTTAATATTGAAAGATGTAGATGTTAAGTATGATATATCATACATGTGTTGCATGTCATCAAATGTAGTCTTTACTAATGTAGTCTTTCTTATTCTATCTATACCAACAAAATATTATGCATATATTCTTCTTTTGCATAATTGTTTAATGTTTGAAAAATGTTCTTTTATATCCATTAATTTGTCTTCATTATCATATCTTTATTCAAATAAGCAAATCATGAAGTTAATAAAAAAATACAATTTATACTATAGTTTCTAACCAAAAAATCTAAGTACAAGTTTATATTTTGATACTACAACATTATTAAAAAACATATGTTTGAATATATAGATCTTGAAATCAAATACATCAAAGAAAATCTCTAATATAAGACTTATCAATAGAATATTAACATCTACATCTTTCAATATCCTCTTTTCATGATTTTCTTTCTTAAATGCTCTAAAATATAATGTTTTGGTTACATCAATTTTCTTTAAGTATTTTTTTTTTCTTTAATTTTGTCAATCTCTTATAAATATCTGCAAAACTTGGTCTTTATGAAGCATCTAAAGTCCAACATTCTAACATCAATTTGCTAAGATCATCACAATTTGAAGATAACTTTGATCTTTCACACTTTTTAATTCTTTTTAATAACTCTTCTTTATTAATTACACTATCAAATAGAATTTTTCTTAAAAGAAATTTAGAACATGTGATTACAAAAGAATATACGTTTGCTTCAAAAACATAAGTATTTATTGATTCTATTATACTTCTTAATACCTTTGGAGTTGTATATCTTATACTTCCATATATGTGTTTATTTTCTTTAACTTTTGAATTCCTTCCTAAATTGATCTTTGACCAATCAAAATCAATTAACTTCATAATAGCATATTGAAAACCATTATTAGATTTACCATCATCTATAATATTAAGTAGCATATTTTTTGGCTTTAGCTCTCAATGGACAATTTGCATGTCATGTAAATAATACATCTCTCTTGCAAATTTGATAAATAACATCAATATGAAAGTAATATAGCATTTCTCTTTTTGTCTCTAATATATTGCTTAAACTTCCTTGCATTAATTCCATTACCAAATATACTTTTCTATTTGAATTATTTATTGTTGAGGACTCACTATTCTCATTTGTATTACTTTTTGTCGCATAAAAATATTTAATCAAGTTTGGATGGCTTGAGTTAGCTAAGATATCTAATTCTTACATGAATATTGCATTCAAAGCAATATCCATTATTTTTATTACACTTGAAAGTCCAAACCACTTTAATTTATAAACATCTCCAAAGAAACATTATTTATGGCTTTTATAAATTCTAAACTTTTGATATCACTTGATACTTCTAAAGAATTCAACTCTCCATCTTCAATCTTATTAATAGATAGTTTGCCAATCCATGATTTTTAAATTGCACATCTTTATTTGCACACTCCAATCTTTTGTGAAGTTCTTTATTATCATATTTAACTTCTTCATGGGTAGAAACACCAAAAAATATAAGTGTAATTTCCTCCAACTATTCTGGACACTTCTTTGAAAGTAAATCAATTCCTATATTGTAACAAATTATCAAGTTCTATAATAGCTCTCTAAACATTTCTTTGTTTCTTATTTGAAAGATACTTGCTTCACACTAACATTATTGTACATTATCTTTTATCAACATGTATATTCTAAATATTATATATTGAAATTCACAAAATAAAATTTCATATTCACTTCTTCCTTTGCTGTAAGTTCTTAAGCCTTCACATACATTGATAACATGGCCAAGTGGTTTGCAAATATTTGTACATTGATTTTTATTCAAAAAACTTTAGTCTTTGATAAAACTTCAATATTCTTGATTGTAATTATGACATTAAATAAGCACATCTCATGTTTCAACTTTTGTTGCTTTGAAAACACTCCTAATACCCTCCACAAACTTATTACAAAGTTTTATAATAATTATAAATCTCAATTTACAACAAACAAATAAAACCTCCATATTGTTGAAATATACTTAGTAAAAAACTTCAAAAGATAGGCCATAATAAACATTTGAATAATATGTATAATTTGTCTTCAATCACATGAATACAACCTCATTAGACATTTAAAAAAAATTCAATAAATTCTTATCACTAAAAAAAATCTTCAAGGTAGCAAAAATTGTTTCTAATATACTTCACATGAAAAGAAAAGAAAAAAAATCCCTATTTATATTAATGATTCTTTCAATAACTTTTTACCATCTCTCAATATTTTTTATATAATAAATATTTACACATACAAATAAAATAATACACAAATATTAATTTTAAATATTTCATAATCTACACAAAATCATTGTGAATGATTCTCATACCTTAAAAAATAACTAGCATTTGATTCTTGAACATATTTCTTTGTTTACTCAAGTAATCATAGATTCTTGAAATCTTATTTGATTACCACAAAACCTTCAGACAAAAACAATGTATATGTTAATACAATTGATTTGTATATGAATTTCTAAATATGTTTCATACAAACTAATTCGTATCTTTAAGAAACATTAAACTAAAACATTTTTCCATAGTTCTATCCATCTTTTAATACTTGTCTTATAATACCAACTATTAAAACTATTTTATAAATATGATATACTACAAAATACATACTAAAATACTATATTAAAATTATCATCTCCTCTTATTATGATTGGCTTCTTTCTCCAATTCATTGTGTTTCTTTAATCACTTATTATACACAATTACAATTTAATACAATACATAGAAAATATATATATATATATATATATATGCTTTACATCACAATCATATCAAGCCTTATTTTCTTAACAAAATAAATTAAAAATCCAACCTATACAATCAATCACATAAACTTCAAGTCTTCTATGTTTTATAAATCTTCAAATATTATCTTCAACGATTGTCTTGTGCTATACAAACACAATCGTTCCCTACAGCAATGTTACATTCAATCAATTCATCCAACCGGTTGGACACCTCAATTCAATATGGAGTTACAATACTTTCTCTATCTATATGATGATTTCATATGGATTGAATTGTTTATAAGTGTAGTGCAAGTCAACTCACCAAATGTAGGCTGAAGTAAAAACAGCACACTAAGGCTCATTGGTTCATGCCTTAACAGCAACAAGCAACTTCCTCTTCAGTGGAGGGGCTGACTTGGTTAGTGCTCATCAAGAATCTTGCCTTTCTCAAAGAATTGCCATCATTTCTGCAAAGGCCAGTTCATGTTGAGTTGTAAGCACGATTATGCATTACAGCTTGTACGTATTTGAGATTCAGAGAGTCAGGCTCCCATTGGGCAACTAATGCAATTATACGCTGCGGGTGTGAGATCACTTTCTACTCTCACTTCATCGTCTATGCCATCACCTACGAAAACAATAGTGAACTCAACTATTTGATTAGTATCAGGCACATGGTGAGGTTGTGCTATGGCGCCTTATGTCGAAATAGTTGAATGTATAAAAAATATTAAAAACATCGACGCTTTCAGTGTGTCTACAAATTAATTCATAAATAAATTACTTTTGTATAAACATTTCTCTAGCAATGATAAGAATCTATGATCCTCTGTGATGGCATTCATTTCATGGAACAGTATGATTGCGTGGCCCTCATCCAGAGAATACACAACATATCTGCATTGACATTCACTTTTTTGTTCCAAGCATGAGGTGCTGAATGGATTGAGCGAAAGCTCACGATGCCATTGCGGGTGACCGAGCACGCTTGATTGTTCACGCGCTTGCATAGGATACAGCAAGCATGAGCTTATGCAATTTGATTGTGCCAATCAAGCCTGATGTCTAGTTTCCAAGCATCACCTCGAGTACTACACTCGAAACACAAAAAGCCATCGTAACAATCTTGGAACCAAAAAAAAGAGAAAAACACAGGATTACCTACTATCAACGACTCCTTGCTCTCACGTTGCGGCACAACAAAGTTACGATATATGTAAGCACATATTCAAGCAATTCGGAGTGAGGAGAGAGTGCACATCTGCAAGGGTTTAGAAGCAAGAGCGAGGGGAAGTGAAGGGGAGGAGGGGGCGAGGATGTGTGGTGTGCTTGGAATCCTACACGGGGCGGATGAAAAGGACACCAATGGATTACATCATCCATAAGACGAATGAACAAGCACGTGTAGTTGTGCACGGTGCATGCGTTGAAAGGAGCCATCTTTCGTGGGAACGATGCTCCGGGGCTTCGCCCCCATGATCGTGCTGTCTGTCAGTGCCCCGTTCATCCTGCTTCGGAGTTGATAAGCTTTTCGTGGCCTCGGTGGATGCGCTCAGGGACTGGGATTTCCAGTCCCGCCTGTAAGTCGTGTTGAAATCTCGGAGGGATGACATGATCCTTCCACCTGATTTCCTCACGGTTGCGGTGTTAGTTCCAATTGTAGTTGTAGAGTTACCGTTTTTTTTCGATCTATTCCTCGAGCTGAATGGGTGGAAGCATGAAATCAGCATGGATGGACATAATTCGTAGCGATCAAAAATTGTTAGTAGGCAAACTTGGAGAGGAAGTGGTGTCTCAGTTAAGAGCTGGTTAAGTCACAACTTTCGGTACATACATCATGGGATATTTAACAGTTCCTTGAAGTTCTCCAGGAGGGGGAGAGAGGGTGCACCAGTACAACTGATGGTGTGCTCTTGATCAAACTGTGATTGTCACAAAGCTCGAGATTCCGAGGGTGTAGTGGCGATCACTCCTATGCAACCCTTGATACCGGAGTCTAATATTAATATACTTTACCTGCATTTCGTAACTAGATTCATTCATTCAAGTACCCACCATTGACGAGATGGTGTGGTAGATCTGAGGGGAAAAATGTGGGAGGTTATGAGCAACATGCACATTGCTTCATATTTGCAAGAATTGGGCATGCTGTAGCAAAATTTGCAGCTGGAAATGGCAGGGCGTTGTAGAGATTCTAGCTGCAGCGTTGCGGTGGAGACTACGCAAGCTTAGACACCACCAGTGCACTGAATTACGCGATCGAATCAAGACCCAAATTCTCCTCCCCACACAGGGTTAACAACCAACATGGCAGTCAGAACGAGCATCAGGTTCCACCTGCTCTCCATTATCTATTTAAGATAGTTTGCTGATCGGTTGCCTAGCTTCCAGTTATGTGAGTATGGTTCCCTAGCTTTTGAGACGGGGTGGGCAAGGAAAAACATCGAACACATGCTGGTTGAATTTCAAGAGTGACGTTTCTGTGAGCATTAAGATGGTGAGAGTCATTCAGGAGGGCAAAAGATTCCTCATATTTCTCTTGGCAAACAAGCAGAATGGCAGAGTAGTGGTTCAATTCAGTCACTACCAGAACACGTTACCTCCTCGGAATTGTATGAATGCTTCAACTCTGTGTTTCCTGCGTGATAACTTGTCATGCAACGTGCTCTTGTCGGTTGTGATGATCTTAAAGTAAAGCTCCAGAAGCAGCCCACATTGTTCTACACTGCATCCAGTTGCTTACACAACTGGCAGATGCATCACTTCTGCAATTGGAAACTTTATTAGAACTGCATATTCGCGGCTATGCCGTGTAACTGCGACTTGAGAGCTTAAGGATTAGCATCATCCTCGTCCAAAGCCATTCGCTGCCACCAGCACCAAGACACAACTCCTGATAGTTGGTTTCTAAATCACCGATTTAACCGAGAATTTAAACAAATTCCATGTGGGCGATCCACCGCACACTGTTTGCGAAAATTCTCCTTCTTTGTGAAGCATACAGACACAGCTAGAAGATTCTCCCTCAAGACATCTCTACGATTGTCTTGAGAGTGAAGTTAAAGATTTAGACGAGAATTTTTGTGATGAGGAGGATCCAGCGCACCTTGTCTGTGAATTGCATTCCGGACAGCTTCGATGGCAGCCACCTCACTCTCTACTGTCATCTTGTCTGCATTTATTTCTCGTCTTACCGATTGATGATAAGTGACGGTATGCGGACTACTAAGAACGAAACTTGAATGGAAAGTTTCTTGATGTTGGTCGGTGATTCAATTCCACCGATTCCTTGTTCGATACTTCAGTTCAATAACTCGACTTAAGTATCACCTTGGAACCATTGTAACCATTTCCACGCTTCATGTATACATCTCTGCGAGTCGCCTTTCCATACTCTAGTGTCTAACGATTTGATTGCTAACCGATTGTAGATTAGAAGGAGAACACTGAACTCGATGAGTTTGATATCTGCAAGTGGTGTTGACAACGGGCGAACATGGAACTCCTTACCTCCAGAATTACAAGATTTGGTTCTTGCTCGTTTGGACCTAACCGATCTGTACAAGGTCGTCCGAGTTTGCAAAAGCTTCCGGGAAGTAATATACCGAGAGAGCTTCAGGCAAGCGCGCGCTCGTCTACGCCCGGTAGAGTGCCCTCTCGGTCCCACACTGTTTTGTGTGGAGAAGAATCGGTGGCATTTGTGGGGGTTCGATTGGAAGAATCATAGTTGGCTCAAGTTACCCCCGTTCACCGACTCGATTCCAGCACCGGATCCTAAACTTTTTAAGGACTTTCTGATTGCGGGTCATCATGGCCTCATCTGTGCAAATATGGGCAAGGCCTCTGAACCTGAGAAGCTGTATATCTTTAACCCTCTGACAGGAGAAGCGCAACAACTGCCTCCTTTGCACCATCCGCGCCACCCAGTTGTCATATCACTGCAGGTAACCACGCCCGGCAGAGCAGATTTTCGAGTGATTGCAGTTGGGAGTGCGGCAGTTGGAACAGGGTACCTTTCTAGAAAAACAGAGGTGTACTGCTCAGTCAAAAGACGATGGGAAGTTGCTGGGGATGTACCGGGTGAGGATTTCTCCATAAACGAATACCAGACTGGACTCTACTGCAAGACGCTAAATTTGTTGCTATGCACAGGATTCATGGTGGACAGAAGGAAAGGAATTCTGGCTTTTGACGTGGGAACAAACGAGTGGCGAGCACAGTGGCATTGTCCATTTTTCAGGTTGCGTTGTGTGGACCGTGCTGTGACAATTAACTTCGCCATTGCCCAGCTTGAGGAGTGCAACGGCGTGATCCACCTTTTCTCCGAGCAAGAGACTGGCGGTACTGTCACGCACTGCATCGACAGGCTTGACTTGGGGATCGAAGGAACATACACATGGACCAGGAGACTTACACTATCGAGACGAGGAACCCGAGCTTTGTTAGTCTATCCAGAATTCACATGTGTCCCAGTGGAAGAACACAAACTGTGCATCTTCAACACAGTACAGTTAACTGGAGATGTGTACGACATGAGCAAGGAGACAGTTGAAACTTCTCACTTTGAATCCTTGCCAACACCTCCTGCTTTACTAGATAACAAGACCCTTTTTTATAGTTTGAACCCTTTGAATTATTATTTCCAGCCAAGTTTTGGGGTTGTTCTGTCAAATCTCAAGTGAGATGAAGACATTGTAAAACATTTATTTGATGTGAGGGTTGTTGAAAATCAGCATATACAAAAAGAGCTTACAGGCATATTGAAGATTTCAATAATAGAACTGTAACCAAAAACGAGTAATTGTAGAAAATAAAAGTTGTTAAGGAGTCTCTACACTTCAAGTGGCTTCTCTCTCAACATCACAAGCAATGTATATTCATTTACAATTCAATATATGAACTATTGAAAAGCATCACACCTAGATTTATAACTATTAGAATAAATATTGTAATTCCAATATAGTATTAGAGTGTACTTTTTGAAAATTTAGAAATTCTAAGAAAGAAGTAAAAACACTCAAAATAGGAAGAAGTTGTGTCAAAGATATCCTTCACAAAAATTGGTGCACTAATAAACCTTCTTCCTAAAAAAATATGGCTACAAAAAGCCTAGCTATTAATGATTGGCCAAGATTTGATGGCTCTTGATACATAATTTGGAGATAAAAAATACAAATGATGATTGAAATTAAAGAAATGTAGGAACTTGTTTCTAGTAAAGAGAAAGAACCAACACCTATTCTAGAAACAAATGTGACTTCACAAACACCTCCAACAAATCAAGTTGCATTACTTACATAAAAAAAGAAAAAAAAAAGAAAAAAAAGACTACTTTGTGTTATGGACATTCAATAGGAAGATTTTAAAAATATTTTTAGAATATTCTATTAAATTTTAGAAGATTCTAAAATATTCTTAGAATATTTTTAAAAGGTTTTTTTTAAATATTTTAACAAATTTTAGAAAGTTCTTTGAGAATTAAAGAAGTTGTTTGTGAAGTTTCTTAAGATTGCTTCATCTTCAAGCAATATGGAAAATTTTCAAGAAGCTTCTTAAGATTGCTTCATTTTCAAGCAACATGGAAACTTTTCAAGAAGCTTTCTAATACCTAGTATATATTGGAGTCGAGGTTGAAGGAATCTTCAATTTCAATAATTTATCTCTTAGAACTTTAGCTTACTCCTATTGATGTTGATCTTGTATTGATTTGCTTCAATCAAGTTCTTGTTAGCTTCTTGTCGAAACTCTTTTGTTCAACTTCTTATTTTAATCTCATGCATAGTGTATTCATGACACTTTGCTCTTGTTGCTATTTGGAATTGTATTAACAATACCATCTTCTTACATATTGGAGCATGCAAAACTACTAATGAAGTACAGTTAGATTTCAAAAATACATATTTTACAAAAGACATGATCACTCAATTATATTTATAAGAAAATTTTATTATAAAAAAAATGTAAGCAAAAAAATTGTTTCAAAAAATTTACATTACTTCAAAACTTTGTTCCAATAATGTCACTTTATTGACTATTCCATTAAAAATGGAAATACTTACTCTAATGAGATCTATGCCATCATAATATAGTACCATTATATAAATCTTATACATAATGAGAATCGTAATTCTTTCCAAATTAATAGCAATCTTCTTTTAAGATGAGATAGCCATAAAAGACTTATCTTCATAATCACATCCATTCTTTGCTAGCCGTAAAAGAAAAGATGAGTGGCAACCAAGATTTTCTACAAAATTCACCTTAAAAGACCAAACGAATTCAAAAATTAAATTAAACTAACAACTCTATGTCTCTATTGCAAAAAAATAAGATAGTAGGATTTTAATTGCTTCAAAAATAAAGCAAAAATTAATACAAATTTTGTAGCAATTTTAAATAAGAATAGATGGAAAAAAAAAATATAGAAGTCAAAAAATATAGAAGAAATATCTCTCTTGCTTTTTGTCCATGTATATTTTATACAAATTTTTTGCTTCAAAAAATCTTTCTAATCATGCACCATTAAAAATGGATAGTGATTCATCAACATAGCTACTACATATTATTTAAATCATAACAAACAATAATTTATAAACTCTGAATCTTTTACTTTGGATAAGAATAAAGTCTATCTTAACAACAATACTACATTGTTAATACAATGATTCAAAAAACTATTTCAATGTTGGGATATTTTGAAAAGAATGGTATATTACACATAAATTGTAGTGAATAATGGCACGTGGTTTATATAGAAAATAAAGTACTCTTTTACAACTACCAAATGAATCCAAATTGAAAAGAATCTATTAGGTAATTGGAGAGCTTTGACCAATCTAATTTGAAATAGTATTAAAATATTTTTTTGAGTGTGGTATTCAATTACATATCAGTACTTTGTAGGACCTCTTTTGGCCTTGATAATTGCTTCCAACCTCCTAGGTATACTTTCTTTTAACTTTTGGCACAAAATTGCTTCAATATTATTCTATTTCTCAGCTATTCTTTCTCATAATTTCTAAACTCTCTTTGGTTTTATTTTCCAAGACTTGAGATGGTATTTGAGGTGCTCCCAAAGATATTCAATGGAATTAAGATCAGAAGATTGAGCAAGCCAATCTATTACTTTAATTCCATGATGTTCAAACCACTTCTATGCTAGTTTTGAATTATGCTGGGAATTGTTTTCTTGTTGAAAATTCACCTCTTCTTTAGAAATGTTAGATTCTTCAATGCTAGAAAGTAGGTATTTTTTAAAAATTTCCACAAATTACTTGGTATCCATCTTTTCTTCAACCTTTGCCATCCTCCTAACTCCATTCTATCCCATACAATCCCATACCATTATATTTTCACTTCCATGCTTAATTGTTTATTGGATCTTCTTATCAAGCAAGGATTGATCCTTTTGTTTCCACACCCACTTTCTGCCATCTGATCCAAATTTGTTGATTTTTGTCTCATCTGACCAAATAACCCTCTTCCAATCCTCCACAGTCTATTCTTTATACTTTAGAGTAAAATCCAAGCATTGTTTTTGATGGTGGTGTCATATTGTAACATGACTATATGGTGAAAGATAAAAATATGAATCTTATTATAGAAGAACCGAGTTAAAAGTTAAAGTAGAAAAATATAGATAAAAGATAGGAAGGTTATAAAACTTTTAGTAGTAATACTGTCTTTTTAGAAAAGTGGCTTCTATCTAATTTTTAAGGCCATAAATAAGGCAAAATAAAATAGATTAGAAAAATAAAAGATATAAGCATATGTAGGAAGAAATTAGGAGTTGGTTTTAGTAGAATTTACATCAAATGGGGCAATAATTGATACCTAGCAAAGACTAGTTACCAACTAGGATTGAAATCAGATCGTGAGGCACAAAACCACGCCTCAACAATAATTTTGAGATTCTTTTGTTAATCAGAGAGCGGAATTTGAAAGGAGACTTGATAGAATTTCTTTAAGCATTGATTTTGAATGATTTGAGTGTGTATTGATTTTATAAGAGCCTTGCAAAGTTAGAGTTTGTTTTAGGTGACTTTAGATTTGCAAAATAAAATGGATGATACTTTTTGGAGAATTTTGTAAGTTTTGTAGTAGATCTACAAGTGAAATTTTTTAGATTTTTGAATGTAATTGTGCTAGATGTATGCTATGAATATGGGATTGATTGAATAGTTAGATTGAAAAGGATGAAGGTTTTTGTAGGTTATATTCTTGAAACTTAGGGTTTTGAGGACTAGTAAGGTTTTCTTAGATATTTGTCAATTTGCTAGTTAGATCAAAGAATTTTTCTTCAAAAATGTAGTTAGCTTTATTTTTCACAAATGTATAAAGTTTTGAAGCAAAGTAATGGTTCAATTAGGAGTAATTGGCTCTGGGAGATTAGCATCAAGGTTGGAGAAGGAGGCCGGCTGATACCCAAGCACATTTTTGAGATCATTGTCTATTTGATAATTTTGATTTTTTTTCATATTTTTTGTGCTTGTTTTTAATTTAATTGTTTTTAACTCGATGTGCTTGTTTTTAATTTTTTTTTCATTGATTTTAACTCGATGTTAAGAGGTGTGCAAAATTCGAGTTAAAATCAATGATTCATTCATTCATTATTGAGGTTTAAATTTGCTATAGGAATTACTTGGGATTGATTAAAGTTTGGTTTAGGATTTGGTTTATGATTAGGATTCAGATTTTGGATTTGATTTAAGATTTGGTTAGGATTAGGATTTGGTTTAGGATTGATTTGGATTTCTTTAGGATTTTTTAGGATTTCTTTAGGATTTTTTTAGGATTTTTTTGTATTTTTTTTATAATTTATTTTAAAAATAAAAAAGTAAAAAAAGTAAAAATAAAAATATAAATAAATAAATAAATAAAAACAAAAAATTAAAATAAAATAAAATAATAATAATAATAATAATAATAATAATTGGACTTAATTTATGCTTAATTATATTTGTTAAGCTTTAATAGTAATTTATATATCATTTTATTGAAGTGATTAGGACTTGTTGTTGCAAATTCTTTTTATCTTTCATAGCCAAGTGCCTAGTGCACTCTCAAGCAAACTTCACATAATATGACATAAATAGTGAACTCGACGTGAAAGCTTGAGGTGGTAGGTGCTAAAGTTTGTTTATTATTATTTTTATTTTATGGAGGACAAGAGTAAGAATTTTGAAGGAGCTTTGGCAAGAGCTTCAAGTAGAGCTTCTAATGGAGTTTTTTCTAAAAGATAAGGTATGTACATGGATCCATCCATTGCTAGTATGTTTCAAGCCTTTTCATTATCTATGCAACAAGAACAAAGCAATGATTGCAAAGAAGCTTTGGCAACCAAAGCATTATAAACAATGGTCAATAAAATTGATCAATTTGATGGAAAGAATATTTCAAAGTATTTAAGATGTTATGTACGGGAAATGGAATTAAATTGGATTTTTGAAAAGAAGATAATTGAACTATTTGGACTTGCCATACTACCAAAAATAAGAGAACATGTTTCATCAATGATAAAGCATTATGGGAATTCATGGAAGACTTTTTTATATACATTAAAAAACAAATATTTCTTAAAAGATACCAATTGTGTTACTAAGAAATTATTTCTAGAATGGATTGAGTGGCCTAGCAAGAATTTACAAGGAACAATGTTATTAAGAGAATTTAAGAGGTAGTATTATCAATTGTTGAAGATAGAAAAATTGACATTAGAGCCAAACAATATTGAATTATTTCTTCAAGCTGTTGATAGAGAATCACAAGAAAAATTGGAGTTGCTTCTTAAAGACAAAAAAGAAGATGAAGGGTTGACAACAAAGTGGAAAAATGTTGAAGATGTGGTAAGATTGCTTACAAAACAAGAAAAGATGAAAGATAGGATTAATATTCCAAGTATAGTACAAGCACCTAA